AGGAAGAGAAGTGTAGTTTGCTCAACAAGTAGGGTCTGTCTTTAATTTGAAGTGAGGAATGAGGAAATGAAGTAACTGTTCATTTTTTATTTTCTGGAAAGAGCACGATTAGAAACATACGATCAGATCACAAGACGGAAACCCATTCTTCAAATTGAAATAATGAGTATTTCCAGATACTTAACTCTGGGAATAAATGAATGCGTGCATATATGTTAAATGTTTGTATTTCTAGTAGATTAAACTGTGTGTCAAGAGTGTTGATATTATTCAGGTCAGATATCAAATATGTAGAGAGTGATTTAGCTTTAAGTTTGTATTAGAATGAAACGTTACCCCACTCAGATTCATAGATCCATTATATCATAGATAAATCTGCTGTGATTGGAAGTATGTGTACGTGTTTGTTCTACTTGGTAACAATGACGTCATTGCTGAGGCATGAAACAATGAATGCAGGCATGATTTATGTCAGCCGTTCAGCCAGCAGAGGGATTTTCAAATCAGGAGAAGTTTACTGTGATTATGCCACAGAAGGGAAACTAAGCACGGGAGTTTTACTCGGCTTTCCAGTAACAGTTCTATTATAGCTCAAGGTTTGACTGAACAAAAGACTTGCAATTATCAGACTCTTGGTATACTAAAGGTGTGGCATTCAACAAGTTCATTTTTCTTCTTGCAGTACAAAAAAGCATCTGAACAAAAGACTGAAAATAAATCATGTTCCTTACATCGCTCTTGTGATGTTCCAAACTGCAAACTTTTCAAGTGAATGAAACCTTTGTAGCATTATGGTGCTTTTACTTCAGGCCTGGATGTTTCCTCCACACGTCTTCATGAAACAAACCCACAAAGCAAGCAGGAGTTACTGAAGTAAAGTAGAACTACTGAAAATATAAGCTGAAAGTAGCTTATCAGGTTTTAATGTTTACTATAATTTAACTTTTATTACTTGCCTACGTCTTGAGCTGCCCCTCATTTCATTATATTTTGGTAGGAAAGTGGAGAAAAGGTCCAGCGATTTATTAAAATGTGCAAAACACAACTTTAAGTTGCCTTTGGGAATACAATTTAAAAAAACAAAAAAAAAAGCAAAAAAAAAAGTGTATTTGTGCATGTGCTTGCATACTAACGCAGAAACCGTTAGTGGTAAAAAAAAAAGCCACTGCCTCCAAATAAGCTCCCATGTTATAGTCATAAACTGTATATATTGTGCCACCACTATGTTTATTTCCAAATTAAACACTTGTGTCTTCACTCTCCCACTCTGCATGCTTTGTAGTTAATGAGAGTTTAAGTCTTGCATGCTGCAAGCTTGTGCTCACATTCATGGATTATTATCCCAAATATTTCAGCCACCGTGGATATGGTTGCTGTTTGTTATTGAACCTTCACTTTGAAAGAGGTCAGATTTCATAATGCTGCAAGGGTGGAGGAGGACAGGCCCATCACATCACGTCCTGCTCTGTAGCTTTTTTCCATTGTGCCCCTGTAGTTCTGCACAATGTGTCCTCAGCAACAACTCCCTTCCTGAGCTCTGGGTTTTGCACTTTCATATGCATTTCATGTTCTTTGCAGTTGAACTGCTGGCATGGCTTTGCTGGAAAATCCTCAGTGAGTCAGACTCCTTTGGCGATGAGCCCTCAAAGGTGTCGTCATGCGTGCATCACCAACATTGAGGCAGGTATATACAGTGGGGCAAAAAAGTATTTAGTCAGCCACTGTAAATAAAGCAAGTTCCCCCACCTAAAATGATGACAGTGGTTAGTAATTTGCACCAGAGGTACACTTCAACTGTGAGAGACAGAATGTGAAAAAAAAAAATCCATGAATCCACATGGTAGGATTTGTAAAGAATTTATTCGTAAATCAGGGTGGAAAATAAGTATTTGGTCAATAACAAAAATACAACTAGATACTTTGTAACATAACCTTTGTTGGCAATAACAGAGGTCAAACGTTTACTATAGGTCTTTACCAGGTTTGCACACACAGTAGCTGGTATTTTGGCCCATTCCTCCATGCAGATCTTCTCGAGAGCAGTGATGTTTTGGGGCTGTCGCCGAGCAACACGGACTTTCAACTCCCGCCACAGATTTTCTATGGGGTTGAGGTCTGGAGACTGGCTAGGCCACTCCAGGACTTTCAAATGCTTCTTACGGTGCCACTCCTTTGTTGCCCGGGCGGTGTGTTTTGGATCATTGTCATGTTGGAAGACCCAGCCTCGTTTCATCTTCAAAGTTCTCACTGATGGAAGGAGGTTTTGGCTCAAAATCTCACGATACATGGCCCCATTCATTCTGTCCTTAACACGGATCAGTCGTCCTGTCCCCTTGGCAGAAAAACAGCCCCATAGCATGATGTTTCCACCCCCATGCTTCACAGTAGGTATGGTGTTCTTGGGATGCAACTCAGTATTCTTCTTCCTCCAAACACGACGAGTTGAGTTTATACCAAAAAGTTCTACTTTGGTTTCATCTGACCACATGACATTCTCCCAATCCTCTGCTGTATCATCCATGTGCTCTGTGGCAAACTTCAGACGGGCCTGGACATGCACTGGCTTCAGCAGCGGAACACGTCTGGCACTGCGGGATTTGATTCCCTGCCGTTGTAGTGTGTTACTGATGGTGACCTTTGTTACTTTGGTCCCAGCTCTCTGCAGGTCATTCACCAGGTCCCCCTGTGTGGTTCTGGGATCTTTGCTCACCGTTCTCATGATCATTTTGACCCCACGGGATGAGATCTTGCGTGGAGCCCCAGATCGAGGGAGATTATCAGTGGTCTTGTACGTCTTCCATTTTCTGATGATTGCTCCCACAGTTGATTTTTTCACACCAAGCTGCTTGCCTATTGTAGATTCACTCTTCCCAGTCTGGTGCAGGTCTACAATACTTTTCCTGGTGTCCTTCGAAAGCTCTTTGGTCTTGGCCATGGCGGAGTTTGGAGTCTGACTGTTTGAGGCTGTGGACAGGTGTCTTTTATACAGATGATGAGTTCAAACAGATGCCATTCATACAGGTAACGAGTGGGGGACAGAAAAGCTTCTTACAGAAGACGTTACAGGTCTGTGAGAGCCAGAGATTTTCCTTGTTTGAGGTGACCAAATACTTATTTTCCACCCTAATTTACGAATAAATTCTTTACAAATCCTACCATGTGAATTCATGGATTTTTTTTTCACATTCTGTCTCTCACAGTTGAAGTGTACCTCTGGTGCAAATTACTGACCTCTGTCATCATTTTAAGTGGGGGAACTTGCACAATCGGTGGCTGACTAAATACTTTTTTGCCCCACTGTAGGTCGAGTGCAAAAAGCACCTTTAAAACAGATATTTAGACTTTTCTCACAAGTTAACCACTGATCTTGTAATTGATGCAAATAAATACATCGGGAAAACATCTGGCCAAATCAATAATGTTAAATAAAATGATATGATATGATATAATCACCTTATTATGAACTATAATGTGAACTAACTAGTTTTAAGGGATAAAACAACAATCCATGATCCATAATCCAACGCCTATGACATGTTTCTTATTGGTTTATCTTCACATCATTGATTAATGAGGTTAATCTCCAACTGAGCTTTTTTTGTGGTCATAAATAGTCTCAATAGTCTCCACATAGTGTATAATTCATATGCTGCATCCTCGCTTGGATAATGTTTTCATTTTGAATGATACAAACAGTTTTTCTGGGTAGTCATGTGAATCTAACACTGCTGAAGTCATCACTGCATCAACAACACTGGAGTTACATGACTGTTCAGAGAAACTGTTAATAAATGATCCATTTAACTGTACATCAAACTGATAATAAAGATGTACATGTTTAATAAAATCAGGCATTTACATTAGGAAGGGCAACAATTAGTATTTCCATTAAGTTCTTTAGCTGATATGGTAAAACGGGGGACTTATTTATAATCAGCAGCCAGTTATGTGCGTTAAATCCATGTGGAATTAAATGGACTGTAAGTCATTATTTTTTAATTTGTAAAGCAACTCATTGTGCAACGTATAATAAAAAGTACAAGATTAAATAAATCCAAATATCCACTATATATGTTAGGGGTGCAACGACACACAAAATTCACGGTTCGGTTCGATACTTTGGTGTCACGGTTCGATATTTTTTCATCCATCCATCCGCTTCCGCGTATCCTTTTCAGGGTCGCAGGGGGCGCTGGAGCCTATCCCAGCTGTCATAGGGCGAAAGGCGGGGTACACCCTGGACAGGTCGCCAGTCTGTCGCAGGGCTAACACATAGGGACGACAACCATTCACACTCACATTCACTCGCACATTCACACCTAGTGGCAATTTGGATTATCCAATTAACCTATCCCCACAAGCTGCATGTCTTTGGACGGTGGGAGGAAGCCGGAGTGCCTGGAGAGAACCCACGCAAACACGGGGAGAACATGCAAACTCCACACAGAAAGACCCCGGCCTGATGGTGGAATTGAACTCGGGACCTTCTTGCTGTGAGGCAACAGTGCTAACCACCGTGCCACCATGCTGCCCCCGATATTTTTTCGATACAAAAAAATGTTCATGCCTTTTTAATTTGTCATTTATTAAAAAATTTTACCTTTACCTTACAATGTAAAGCAGTTGAGGCAGCTGTTGTTGTGATTTGGCGCTAAATAAAGAAAACTGGATTCAATTTAATCTAACTTTTGTGGGAATTTCTTACCATTTTCCTTTCTTTCTTTTTTTTAAAACCTTGAAAGAAATTGCAAGAATAATAGTAATCTACATTAAAAAAAATCACGTGCAGGGATTGTGTTTTTTCTTTCTTATTTGAGTGAGTAATTTCACTTTAAATATCACAATGCTTTACAATTACTTTGCTTGATTTAAATACCCCACATCACTCATTTTACTTTGTTTGGTTAATCAGTAAGCGCCGGTTACATTGTGTGTAGTGTAATGTATCGTTGATGTGGGGGGTGTTATTTTTGGGGGGCGGGCCTTGATGACGTCGCTCTTGCAGTGTCGCTGGTGTGAACGCAGACGGAGCAGCTGAGGATGGAGCAGAGGGACAAGAAAGCGGCTGCCTCACATCTCATCGTCTCACCTCACTCGTGCAATTAAAGAGCTTCTTTTAATATACAAGGAGGCTTCTTCCTCACCTCCCTCCCTTCTTCTCCCTTTTTTCTTTTTTGTTTTCTGTTAATTTTGCCGCTGACATCTGCTCACCGGTCCACTCCTCCATCTGTCAACACACCGCCGGCGTCGCCTATGTGTCAGTGGACGGAAAGAAAATCCCGGTAAAGACAGATAAACAGAATTTCCCGCGAGGTTTCACACCTTCTGCTGGAAGTGCCAGGTCGCTGGTATGGACGAAGACAATCACGGTGAGGCTGTTTTCCTTTCTCCCACACTGGTTTTCTCTCCCTCTCAGTCTGCGCGCAGGGGAGGGGGACACGGAGAGGACGGTATGGATGGATGTGTGCGAGGACGCAAGGATGCGCGAAGACATGAGGTTGTCTTGTTTAGACATTCCCAGTCTTCCACGGTCGGCCGCCGTGTACCCTGATAATACATACCTGCTGATAAAAGAGCGTTTTTCAGATATAGGGCAGCCCTGTAATGATTTGCATGCCCTCATTCATCGCAGGTGAGATCCTGATCTTGGCAGAAATCAGGAAAGAAGGGTGGAAAAAAGCTACACAAAGCAAAATTTTCCCTGCATGCTTCTTTTCCATCTGTTTGATGTCTCTCTGCTTTGCTTTGAAGTATCTCTCACTATCTCTTGGCGCCATGTGAAGCCTGTAAACTGGTGGAAATTGATAAGATATCTGACAGGCACCCTTCCATATGGAGGATAGTGCATTTTCTTGTTAAATGTTCTTTTTTCATGAGCAGTTCTGTGTTTAAAAATTAGGGTTTTTTTTAGGATAGTGACACCCATTGCACATTTGATTAAACTCTGTCTGAAGTTTTACTGCTAGATCTTGTAGTAAAATGAAATACTGTAATACTCATTATTGAATTAGATGCAAGATTTACATTTTTGATCTTGATGTAGGTGGAAATTAAGCATGATGAGCTCACTAGTGATATCCAGTGTACGCTGACTGTCCTGACTTGGGTATTAAAGCTAGTATAATGCAGTCCTGATGGTGGGTTTTGGTTTTAAAGCTGAATGAATTCAACCAGTTCAGGCGAGTGCAACATAACCCAGATTACCACACATGGTGGCTGCAGCTCTGAGTTGGTTATTAAATGATGGTGGCGAGCGACACACATACGGGATGCTTCCAAGCAGATAATCCTAACCGTCTTCTGGCCTGAAGTCCTTGAATACAATGTAGTGTAAACAAATGGATATAGTCTGATAACAGTTTGGCGGTTAAACTGTGAGATTAGTAGAGGCAGGAGAGGCGTTCCTCTGAACTTCCACTTTTTCTTTTTTACCCTCATCGGTGTCATGCTTGAATTACCTGAATATAAGGAAAGCTTCATGCTCTGCCCTGAATTTGAATGAAAGTGATATAGATGACACAGATATTTCCAAATGTTCCAGTCAGTATGCCCTTTAGCTGATGTCCGTGTTCAATTTTATTTGAATTCCACTCGGGTAGCTTTGCATGATTCACGCTTAAAAATCCTCTCCATTCTCTGTCTGAAACAGGCATTTTTTAGCGCGTCTCCATTTAGGCTAGCTTCCTTCGTATTGGCTGCCCCTCTCAAACAATCAGAGCTGTTTGCCTGAGATCAACGTGTTAAGAGTTGAAAAGAAACACATGAGCTGAACATTTACAGCAGTCTGAAAGCTGAGCTCTTGCTTTACAAGGACTACTTATACACACTCTGACTCCATTATTTGAAACTGTTTAATATGAGCATCCATCAGTGTAGGAATATTTATATAATAGACAAATAAGGGACTATATTTTGGAGGATTTGTGTGAATATTAATGTTTGTATATTTGCTGCCAAAATCAGGCGTATTGATTTCTCACTCCACGCTCTCACTCTAGGGCTAGTTATCAACAAGAAGATCTAATGTGCCACAAAGGTAACTGTGCTGATTCATGATCCAAAGGGCAAGAAATATTCATATTTTAGCTTTACCAGAAGGAAAAACAGCCAGCTATGAACAAAGATCTCTCTTTTCATGTGTGTTTTAGGAGAAGAGTTTTAAATGTGTTATTTCAGAGGCTTGCAGACATGAATATTATTTTACAGTCATCCTATTTGGACTCTAACCCATGAGGAGTTAGTGTGGTTGTTCCATTTTCCCTTAAAATCATGCGCACTACAAGCCATCTCCTCATATGAGGTCAATCATAGCGATACCAATTTCTCTCCCCCCACCCCCGAAAAAAAAATCATGTGACAAGAAGAGAGAGCTCAAGAGCACAGAGGCACGCCGTGTGTGATTAAATCTGAAATATAGGACACGAGCTTGTTGAGATTACACGCAGCGGTGTGCGTAGCGGATTTTTCAAATAACTTTCCATACATGTTAAACTAATTGAGAGCTCTGGAGCACTTACTCACACTCTCGCTGCCTCCCATTGCTTAAAAATTGTTCGCATGCGCACCTTGATACGCTGATGCTAAGCGAAAGGCATTTGGCGCCTGAATCTGTCTGCCAGTCACTTAACGGGCAGCTGCACAAAGTCAGTAATGTCAAAGACTCAGAGGTGTGTTCTGCTACATTTTTATGTCAGATCACTGAAAAAACTTTGTGATGTCAGTGCCGTGGTGATTTTGCAGACCTTTAGCTCAATGCATGATGATCTGCCTTGTTGCAAACTGTGCTTTGTAGCTCTCTTATCTTGCATTCTAACATATGTGCACATTATGGGACCGTGTTCCCACGCCTGCACGTCCAGCCTGCATGCAAACTGCACAACATATGTTCAAAGTTAAGGGCATCATTTGTTCTGCACCGTTGAGCCAATCTGAGAACAACAGAGGCCCAACAGATGACATCATATTTTATAGGATTAAGCAACAGTACACAAAGAGCTAATGCTCCCTCAACCCTCCTCCTCTGTAACTCTAAACAGTGTATGGGAACATGCAGCTGGGCCCAAAATGACAAGGCTATACTGAGGTTTCTGATATGAGAGGCCTTTTTTTTTTTTTTGTAGATTACAGGTGTGCACCAAATCGGTATAATCAATGCTTTCTGCTGACACTGATTATCAGGTGATCAGGCGATGATGTATACTGTTAGCTGGCTTTGCTTGTAATCATGAACCAATCAGGGAAAAAATTACCACCCGCCTCTGCAGCTCTCTTTAGCTAAATGACCCATTAAGAATATGCTTTGGGCGTGACTAACTGATCGCACCGTGTTGACAGTCTGCAAATAAAATCAGCCCATGATGTGAAAAGACTTTAATTTTTTGTGTTTAAATCCAGTTGCCGCCCACGACTCGTTGAAAGGTTTTCACTATGCTTGGTGTTGTTCACTCTCTAGTCGCAACTTGCGGCCATCTAGCTAAACAAAAGCCGCTAAAACGACTGCGTGCTGGCGTCCCTGCAGTAAGCGACCACATAAACACTAAACCACTAAACACAGTGGAGCATTTAGTTATTTATTTCAGGAGCAGGTGGAGACCAAAACAGAGGGAAAAGGATTTACCATTCATCTCTTAAACACATGCCGATTGTCACGTTTAAGGAATCTTATACATTCAGTACAAAAATAAAAACAAACAGATGTAGGCTGTCCAATGGCCTCACAGTTATTTCACATTGTTAAGCTTTCCTTCCATGCTGCGGCCTCCGTGGTGCTATCACTATAACAGCTGGAGGACACATCGTACATAAGAGTCCATAATGGGCACATTCGTTTATGGAATCCCAAACATTTCCTTTGGCAGGTGTGAATGAGTTTTGTTTTGTGTTACTTCACAGTGGTGCCAGTGTGATCTGCTCCTCATTGCATGCTGCATTTCTGTTGGATGGTTAAGAGACTTAGATCGTAGCTCCAGTCCTGCAACCCTCCATTTTTTCCCACTGTTTAGCATGTTATAGCGGCTAGATTTCAATCCATGTCAACAACCATACAGTAAGCAACTCATTGCAAGGGGAAAAGTCATGCTTGTGTTTGCAACTTGTTGCTCTGCCTCAAAGTGTGTGATCTGGGGGGGCGGGGTTATTGAAATTCGCAGACAGAATCAAGAACTTGTAAAGCACCTACTACTGTGCAGTGTGTGGAGTTGTCCCATCCTGCAAGTAGAACCTATATTTCTTAACTACAGTTATCCCCACGCTGAACGAAACTATAAACGGTGCCACTGTGCATTGTTTGTGGTACTCAGCTGCAGCATGGGATTCATTAGTGCATGTTTACTGCACTCGCTAATCAGAGTTGGCGCTTCTCTGCTCAGCTTGCATGCCACAGAGCAGACAGGGCCTGGCTTCAGATTGGATGAAATCAGCAACAGGCTTCAAAATGTTTTTATTACTCATGTGTCTATTTTTAGAATCATTGTATAGCTGAATGGAGAAGTGGAAAGAACACAGACGCAGGAGCTGGCTAGGAAGCAGTTTGCTGAATGGCTGGATTGAGGCCATGGATTTTTACTCTTGGATTTTAAAAAACTATTTTTTTTAGTATTTCCTTTCCTTCGTAGGAGCTCTGTGATGCTTCAGTCAAGGATTATTGCGAGCTGAGCTTTTTGTGCAGACTTGGGAGTATTAAAATGCTGAAGTGAATAGAAATTTCCAACACCTTTAAAGCCTGAATGAAGCTCTTTGTGGCAAAATTGGTGCAGACGCCCAAAATGTGCAAAACTGTTTGTCTTTGTTGAGCCCCGTCAGGCTTTTCTGTCCATGTTTCCTGTTTAACTGTCACGATAACCCGAGTGAGTCAATCAGCACTCTTCTCTCTATCTGACCGTGGGAAAAGTTAAATGTGAAAGGCCTTTCCTTCCATTCTCCTGCTGTCTTTGGACTGTGAGTGTGTTCTGAAATAACATCTCATATCTGAATGTAAAGACCTGTTAATGGTACACACCACAATGGCAGTTACTGTGTCTCCTAAAAGCACATCCAGGCTTTCTGATCAGTCTTCTCTTGCAGTGAAAGAGCTTGAGTAAAAAAAAAAAAAAATGCCTTTCTTCTTTGCGTTTCTGTGCAATCAACTCTCAATGGACATCAGACTGGATGCAATTATTTCATATCATATTCACCCCGGCAGGCGTGAAACTCAAGATAAGATGGCTTTTGAGTCTACGCAGAACTTAAGCTCTGAGGGAGATTAGTTGGTAAGAAGGGGAAGTTGGTGTGATTGGGGTATGGTCTTTGTTGTGGCTGTAGGGCGAGTGAGTGGGAGGACATCAAACGGGTACTTGAGGCGAGCTGTGGCTGCTCTGTAGGTATCCATCAC